TCAAGAAACTTTCCTTTTGTTCTTCCTTCTACAATGCCACATTTATCTGGTGCTCTGACGTTGTTTCGGACTTTCTCGGTATCTTCAGCTGCTACCTTCTCTACAGTATGTTGAAGTCAAGACTCTGGCCCGCTTCTTGGATGTTTACATTCTTCCCCAAGGCAAATACCATGTGTATTTCCTGCCTGAATAACCCTTCTCAGTTGTAGATATAGGTACCTAGCTGTCTATTTAAGATGTATACTCGAAGCTCTTACAGGTATTTCACATCTTATTTTTCCATTGAATAATTATACCATATATATGTATGCAAATTAGAAATATAGATTCACTTTTGCTTCTTACCACTACCCATGCTATTACTCTTTGAGTATTGGATATTAAATAACATATATGCGAATGTTGCCCCTTTTGTGGGAAGCACTGTCTTCTTTGCACCTATAAATTTTCAAACATTTTTATGATTGAGATTATGATTACAGCATTTCTTCCTTCTTTTTCCTTGCTCCAAAACTTCCTTTATACCCTCCCATTCTCTTTCAAATTCATGGCCTCTTCTTTCATTGTTATTGTGTGCAAACATATATGCATACACATATATACATATATTCCTAAACATAATATTCTCAGTTCATATAATGTTGTTTGTATTATGCTTTTTGGGCTGACCATTTTGGCACTGGACAAGCAGTTGGTGTGCTCTTCTGTGGGGAGGACCACCTCTCCTGCCTCCTCGTAGCTCTCATTCTGCCAACATCAGCATCTCACCAGGGAGGAACAGCCCTAAGAGGCTGCTTCTCATTACTTTTGTGAACTCATTTCAGGTGCTTTCCTACCCGAGAGAGAACACAGAAAGGAGTTACCATCTCAAGGCATTTCCTCTTGAGCTCTACTCAGTTTCCTCGATGTCTGTGTCCTCTCCAAAGGTCACCTGGATATCATCTGCAGTGTTCCTGGACTACCTAACATTTCCCTCTCGTTTAATCGCTCTGTATCACACCTTCATGCTTATGCCCTTTAGAGTTTTATAATCCAGGTCTAATTCAGAAGATTGGAGAGATGAATTATAAAGATCTGAATCCATTCCACAGCATGTGCAGTAGAATTGCCAGGCAGAGTAGCATTGTCACTGAAATCCGAACATGGGTGAAGCAGACACAAGAGGACACCTGGGCTTAGTAGCACACTAGTATAGCCGAATTGATAAGCCCCAGGTATAGTGAAAGACCCTGCTTCAATGCACAGGTGGAGCGGTGACTGAGGAAGATATCTGAGGTCAGCCTCCGGCTTCTGTGTGCGTGCACAACCACATGCACCTCATTCTCCCTGCACAAAATAAAAGAAGGTGTGCTTCAGGAAGAACCTGAGTGGCACAGAGGGCGAGCAAGCTAGAATCCCATGCTTCACCTGAGATGCTCCACGCCGGAATCTGTAACTGGAGAGGATACTCAGTGAATCACCGAGATGAAAGCAAGGGAACTACTTTGAAGCTCTGACCATGCCTGCATTTGTTCTTTGGCTGTCCCTGTCTACCTTCTCTGCTTCCACCACAGTGGGCTTTATCCGTGTCCAGCACAGCACTCGGCATATGGTTGCCTCTCAGTGTGTATTTGATGGGTGTTGAGACATCGGCTCAAACTTCTATAAAGCTAATCCATAAAGAAACCGAGGCTCAGAGAAAATAAGTGAGTGTTGTAAAGTCACGTAGCTTATTATTAATAAAGCCAGGATAGAATCGAGCACGTTTGTAGCATGATATGCACCTTATCCTATTGTGTGTATAGGCTTCTGAAATTTATAACAATTATTTGTTATCAGCGCTGTCCTTTGACATTGGCTTTATATAAACTAACTTAGCATAGAATACCCAGGTTTAGTCTTTCCTTTTGCTTTGACTAAGAACAGAGAAAATGTTAAACACAGCCTACAATTTTGTAAAATCTCTTTATTAATGGGTCAAAAGATCTCTGAAAAAAATGTAAGAAAATCTCTCACAGGAAGAGCTGTCAAAGAACCCACTTAGTGTAGATGGCAGCTCTGTGGTGAGAACTGTCTCATTGCTCTTGCCAGGGTTCCTGGAGGGTGTCAGAGGCCACCCAGGGATCTAACGTAGGTTTTGAAAAAGTGGCTCCTGATTTATTTTAATTGTTGCAACTGGCATTTATACTTACTTTTGCCTAATTATAAAAGTTCTCTCTGTGGATACGTTGTGCTTATCACTCACAATTTAATGGCTAACATCTTCCAACTGCTAATTGGCGTGCAACAGATGAACCACGACATTAACCCTCTGACCCACATTCTTTAAATATAGATTCTTTGCAGCCAGAGGTGCTAGTTACAGACACTCTGAACATGATTGTTTTCTTTTCGTAAAAGGAGAAAATCAACCCAAGGAAAGTGGTTCTGATGGGGAAGGTGAGTTATGCAGAGAATCTACCTGCTAAGGGTATATTCGTATCAGCCCTTGTAGGTAAGAAAGGGACCTAAATTACTCAGCCCAGCTGGCCACTAGCACAGAAGTCTTGTGTACTAACATCCTGATGCATACTCATCTGTATATTTTTTATTATAATAAATCACAAATAGACCTTTTTACTGGTAATGTACTTCATAATGATTATAATTGCACACTTCAGTAATAAGTACGTGCATAATGGTGCGGAACTATTATCATCAATACTGTTTCCAGAACTTCCCCTGTACTCCGAAGGATCACTCTGCACCTATTAAGTAATAATTTCCCACTCCCTTTTACCCCAAAACTTAGGGAGTCATTATTCCACTCTCTTTCCTTGTGGATATATCTATTTTATGAGTCTAATGTAGGCAGAATCATGGATTTGTCCGTTCATTCTTTTCGTGCATTTCACCTGGTGTGATGTCTTTAAGGTACATCGACTTACAAAATAATCTTAAAAGTTATTTCAGGTAGTCAACACCTTGAAGATGAGAAATGTGTGTTGGCTACTGGACATGGCCTTAGGGTTGATCAGACAAGAATGGCAAAAAGCAGCCAAACGCTGAAAGCACATTTTATAAAGAATGGGTATTAACGCTGGAGAGATGGCACAGTGGATCAGAGCACAGTTGCTATTCCAGAGGACCCAGGTTTGATTCCCAGCACCTACATAATAGCTATAAATCATTGGTAATTTCAGTTCCAGAGGATTTGACACTCTCTTTTGACCTCTGTGGGCCCACATGTGATGTATGTATATATATATATATATATATATATATATACACACACACACACACACACACACACACACACATGCAGGCAAAGTACTCATACACATAAACTAAGTTTTTTTAATTATAGAGAATGATGAGCATACAATACAAAGCCCTGAGGAGGAAGATGATTCAGAGGTTCTCTGAGTCTTTGAGTTAGAGCCTGGAAAGAGCACACAGAAAACAAACCATTATCACCTTCTTTATTAGGCTCTTTATCTCAATCAATATGGCTCAAGTTAAAATTAGGTTTTGGTGAGCAAATCACTGTGTTTTTATTGGATTAGATCTTCCCTCTTCAGTGTTTGAAGGCTGGAGCTTAAGTATAGAAGGGTGATTTAGGTAAACAATTCTTTTTGTGTGAACTCCAGCCCTAAGCATTTCAGTCAATGTAAGGAAAGACAGAGTGAAGTGTCTTCCACAGTCTCCCACTGGCTAAGGATCATTTCTTATCCCCAGCGGCATGCTTTCTTCTGGGCATGCCGACAGGAAGAAGTTGTGAACAGGGTCGAATTTAGAACTGAGCCAACTCTGGATATTAGGGGTCAATGCTCATTTTAATTTTTCGGTCAAAGAAGTGCGGTATAGACAGGAGATTCTTGGTTTTTGGGACCTTGTGTTCTGTGTGTTGTGTTGAAGTGAAAAATGTCCTCTCACAAACCAGACACTCAACTATCCCAACAACTTTGACTTTCTTCCTTCAGTTTTCTGTGCTGACACGGACAGTTCACGTCCAGAAGTTTAAAACCATTTTCAAACTTTTTTTGTTTGTTTTGTTTTTTGAGAAAGTGTTTCTCTCTGTAGATTTGACTGTCCTGGAATTCATTATGTATACCAAACTGGCCTTGAAGTCACTGAGATCCACCTGCCTCTTCCTCCTGAGTGCTGACATTAAAACTCAAGCTTCTTAAAAAGAGCTTTTTGTGACATTAGGAACATGATTGTTTCTTACAGTTTCTGAGCAACCAGAAAATATTTTGCTTTCATTGAGAAGAAGCATTCACTTCAAGTTAATAAAACAAAATCCTGAGCTTATGCTTGTAGGAGAGAATTTGTAGAGTCTAATCAGGTGCTGAAATTGGCAAGAACACGAATTTGAAGTATCAACATGACATAAGGTGACAGAAAAATAACACAGTCATAAAGTAGACGATGAGATTGAGCTTCTTGTCTCATATACTTCCCAGAACCTGAGGTCATTTGTGAATTATCACAAGAACACCTTTCAAGCATGGCTGTCCCTTCCCAGACAGCCCACCTATAAAGCACAGCTTTTACTCAAGCTATACTGAAACTCAGAAAAGAGTAGCCCTTGCATTCATGCAGCCCTTGGTTTCAGTTCCTATCATTCATTGATCAACCGTCATCTCCTCCATCTGATAAGTGAGAATGATGCATTGAACACACACCAGTGAGTAAAACAACTGGGGTCCTTGTGTTATGGTGCCTGCACTGTAGATGAGACAGGTGTGCAAAAACAAATCGACCAAGTGAATACCTGAGTATTATACGAGGTGAATCTCAAGGGAAGAATGAAACAAAATAGCACCATGCAGTCAAGGCTAGAGATTCCCCTCCTCAGACCTCTGCTCATATTCTCCAGGCATCCAGGAAAGCCCAACAAGACTCTGGCAAGTTTAGCTGTTACTACTGCTGATTGATGGTGAAGTGAACTTCCTGGAGATTGAACGGAAGCTGAATTCCTTCCCAGTGTCATTGAGGCTCCCTTACATCTTTGTGTTTTGTTTTCACATGTCCTCCAGTTCCAATGAGGGTTTCGGGTCCGTGGAGAAGGTCGTGCTGCTAACATTCCTCTCGGTGGTTATCCTGATGGCCATCCTGGGCAACCTGCTGGTGATGGTGGCTGTGTGCAGGGACAGGCAGCTCAGGTGAGCACTACAGGGGAACCTCTGGTGAAACACGGGTGTCAGAGGGATCACCCTGGAAAATTGGCTCTGAACAATTTCCATTTTAATTTCTCACGTTCATGAGAACAGGTTTTGAAAGACAGAAAAGGGATCATATATAATCCTACAACCCCAACACTAACATAACCACAGGAGCACCCTGAGCTAATTCCATCATGTCTGTTTATCGATGCTGTGTTGCATTTGTTTAAATAGCTGTGATATATATGAATACACCCTTCTGCTACCAATGATTCAGGGCAGAGTAAGAATAAACATTGTATCTATCACATATTGTCCATTATCAGTGTCAACTGTGACTACATTTATAATCACCTGAGATATTTTTCAAAATACTACCGTATGATATTGGTATGTCCTGTGCAATATTGTGGAAATATTTATGTTTAAAAAAGTAATTCAGTGTTAAAAGTCAAACGGCCATCCTGTATCTTATGTAGCAATCTTCAGTGGAGGAAGATGTTATCCACAAGACTTTTTGTCTAATTGATCCTAAGTTGAACCCTGGGCACTGATATTTGCTAAAATCCACCAAATATTTCTAGTGTGTGGCCTGGTATAAGGACCGTTGGGCCGTGAAGGAAGAGATGAGCTAAAGGTAGCTCCTTTCTAAGCAGGACCTGCCCTGAACCAGTAAAGAGGGGGAGAAAGGGCAATGCAGACTTTTGGCTGGGGTCACACACTAAGGGGGTACACAAGAGGGCACCCTAGTAGCTGCAAGTAGTACACTTGACACTGTCTGTAAGAGCAACATCTTGAGAGGGCTCTGTGGGAGCGCCTCAGCCAGGACTAGAGCCAGGGTGGACAGTGACTGGGAGAGTGGGTGGGGAAGAGTGCGATTGTTTGGAGCCTCAGAACCCTTCTCAATACACTGGTGGCCTCTGGTCAGGCCAGAAAAGAGAGGGAAAGGTATCTTTGGGCTTGAAATGGGTCTGGAGAAGTCAGAAGAGGCTGAACCACAGCGTTTCTTTTTGGCCGTGGTGCAGAAGGGAAAACTGAGTCTTGGGTATTATGTTTAATGTGTGACTTTTCTTTCCTTGTCTACCTCCCTTCTTTCCTTCCTTCCACTTCCCCCAACTCTTCTCTTGCTTTTTCTTCCCACTTTCTTCTCCAAATCCTTCCCCTGCCACCTTGCTCATACTTTTTCACTCACAGGAAAATAAAAACCAATTATTTCATTGTGTCTCTTGCCTTTGCCGATCTGCTGGTGTCGGTGCTGGTAATGCCTTTTGGTGCCATTGAGCTGGTCCAAGACGTCTGGATTTATGGGGAGATGTTTTGCCTGGTCCGGACCTCTCTGGATGTCCTGCTCACCACAGCATCGATTTTTCACCTATGCTGCATTGCACTGGATAGGTAAGAGCTGAACAATACGCAGAATGGAACCCAGTTGACACCAGTGAACTAGCAGATACTAGCCAGTGTCTTTCCTTCCTAACCCATCTCACGAAATTAGTTCCAGAGTCAGAGGTGGAAGGTCGGTGATTCCTGCACCAGGGCAGTCCTCGTGGAGGACTTCTTCCCAGTCAGGCACTCTTAGGGATGTTGAAGATCCAAAAGTTGCACAGTCTGGCAATTGCTTGTAGATAGGTATCCTTACCTACGTTGACTTCTAGCTTTATATTATTGACAGGAATGAAATGCTAAGGGAGATAGGTAGGTAGTAAGATTTAAGTGTCTCTGCCCAGGAGGGTATGGGCCAGTTCAGAGTGACATCACCGTGTTTGAGCATGACTGTCTCCTAAAATATGCCACATGATAACTAAAGTCTAGGAAAGTGCCTGTGATCATGGGGATTTTTTCCCTAGAAAGTGAAAGTTGATAATAAAATTTCTAGTAATTACTGTTTTAGAAATTCAGCTTATCATATCTATCCCAATGTTAACTGGGCTCTTATTGTTCGTTTGTTTTGTTCTGCTTTTTTGTTTGTTTGTTTATACTTTAGGTTGCCTAATAATTCCAACCTTTGCCCCATTTTTTGGGAGTGCATGGTTATCAGCTCTTTCCATTCTCCAATTTCTATTCATTCTCATGGACTAACAGATGAAAGAATATTCTTTAGAAGTCAGACAACTCTGAGAATGTATGTGGCATAGGGGTGAGAACAGAAGAAAATGTGAGTCAGAAGTTTCATGAGCTTAGATTGTCAGAGACAGCATCTCACTTTCTCTCCAGCTGCCCTGAGACCTATTTCCCTGGCTTGGGAAAGACGCGTTTCTTAAATCGAGAACTTAGAAAAATAGTCCGCAAAAGTTAGATAATGTTATATGTCTAAAATATTCATCTTTAAAGAGTAAAGTAATGGCTTCTTAGAAAATTACTCATCAGGGGCAGGTACTTAAGACCTGCAATGTGCTGTGGTAACAACAGCTTCACCCCTTCCCTATGAGAGCACCGATTGGAAGGAAGGCAGGTGTGACAGCGACAGCCTCCTCCGCCTCTTCCTCCTCCCCCTCTTCTTCTTTTTGTTTGTTTGTTTTTCAAGACAGGGTTTTTCTGTGTAACAGCCCTGTCTGTCCTGGAACTTGCTGTATAGACCAGGCTGGCCTTGAACTCACAGAGATCCACCTGCCTCTACCTCCCAAGTGCTGGAATTTAAGGCGTGCACCACCACCGCCTGCCTGGCAAGCCTGCTCTGTTTAAATCACTTTCTTTGTTCTTCTGACAAGAGCACAAAGTCAAATTGCCTAGGTTCTGTGCAGGTATAATGAGATTCCACTGCATAGATAGGTGCCAACAGCAAGACCCACCATGAGTCCTAATTAGAAATTTCTGTGTCTTAGCTTGCTTATAATTGGACACCAGTGTCTGAAGAGCATCTCAAAGGCATTTTCTACTACATGAAATTTCATATTACAGAAAAGAAAGTATGAGGAAGGAGAAAATGTAGGGAAATCCTAGAGGTTAGCCTGTATATCTTCATTGCTAGAATGATCTGTAAGACTTGATATAATATAGAAACTTAGAGAAAAAAAAGTAAGGCTGGGGATAAAAGGGAGCTGGAAATCAGTGAGATTTTCGCAAAAGCCAGGAGAAGAAAATGAGCCATGCAGGGAATAAAAGAGGACAAAATTCATCTCTCTGCTGTAGAGAGCAGACAGCCCCAAGACAAGAGCCGAAGGTCTCCCATGGGGTTTGGCTTCAGATTTACAGATTTAAGCTTATACTCCCTCTTGAACATTTCTTCATGAAGGCACACATCGTAGGGAAGCAGTGAAGAATTGGACATTAAAAGCCATCTGTTTTCAAATTTGAGGGATTTAACTTTAAATTTCAGCTCTGTCAGATTTTGCCTCTGAGATTGGCAGTGAGTTAATAAGTCTTTCTGAGTCTCAGTTTTCTTTGTTTCAAAAAAAAGGGAGAGGCTAAAGTATGTGGGTGCACCCCTCACGGTCCTGAGTTCCTTGCTCGTGCTCTCTCTCCTTCTGCTCCTGATTTGGACCTTGGGATTCAGTCCGGTGTTCCAATGTGGGTCTCTGTCTCTGTCTGCTTTCATCACCTGATGAAGGTTAATCTCCAGGAGGATGACTATATGTCTTTCTTTGGGTTCACCATCCTATTTAGCTTCTCTAGGATCACGAATTATAGGCTCAATGTCCTTTATTTATGGCTAGAAACCAAATATGAGTGAGTACATCCCATGTTCCTCTTTTTGGGTCTGGCTTACCTCACTCAGGATAGTGTTTTCTATTTCCATCCATTTGCATGCAAAATTCAAGAAGTCATTGTTTTTTACTGCTGAGTAGTACTCTAATATGTATATATTCCATACTTTCTTCATCCACATACTGAGACATTGGGGATGATCTATTGGGAACTCAACAAGGCCAGATGGACTGGGTCTGAAAAAGCATGGGATAAAACCGGACTCGCTGAACATAGCAGACAATGAGGACTGCTGAAAAGTCAAGGTCAATGACACTGGGTTTTGATCCTACTGCACGCACTGGCTTTGTGGGAGCCTAGGCAGTTTGGATGCTCACCTTACTAGACCTGGAAGGAGGTGGGAGGTCCTTGGACTTCCCACAAGGCAGGGAACCCGGACTGCTCTTAGGGCTGATGAGGGAGGGGGACTTGATTGAGGGAGGGGGAGGGATACGGGAGGCGGTGGAGGGGAGGAGGCAGAAATCTTTAATAAATAAATAAATAAAAGAAGGCTAAAGAACTGATGCTGCAGGACTGACAGCTGTTGTAATTAGGAGCGGCGGGGCTGCATCCCCAGCACCCGGCCGCCCACATGGCTAGCTCTAGGTTATGCCCCAAAATAATTACACGGAAACTGTATTCTTTTAAACACCGCTTGGCCCATTTCTATCTAGCCTCTTCTAGGCTAGCTCTCGCACCTGGACTAGCCCATTTCTAATAATCTGCTGTAACCCACAAGCTGGCTTACCAGGAATGATCTTAACCTGCCTCTGTCTGGAGTGTGAGAATCATGGCGACTCCTAGACTCAGCTTCTTTCTCCCAGCCTTCCGTTCTGTTTTCTCCACCCACTTATGTTTTAACCTATGAGGGCCAAGCAGTTTCTTTATTGCTTAACCAATGAAATCAACAGATTGATATATGACACTCCCCCATCAGACAGCAGTGAGGAAGAAACGAGCTAGGCTGCCTGAGGGGGGAACGTTGTCCACTGTAACTCAGTACTGCGATGAGTGGTAGGTGCTACTGAGCTAATCATTGCCTGTCTTAGCAAGGTTTGACTTCCCTTACAACACCAGAGCATCCTCTGATTGTTCTCCTTGCATCAGTTTATCATCTACTCTCACAAGATCAAACAAATGCCAACCTTCCAGATGGCAACTCTGAGCATTACTGCTTGTCTGGGACTTTTCAGTAGTTACTTGCTTTGAGATATGACCTCATTTCTTGATGTGGGGAATCTTAACGTTTAATTTAATTCATTTTGAATTCAATTTAATTTATTTAGAATTTTATACCTATGTATTGGATTTATGGTGTTTCTACCCCACCGTCTCCCTACACCCTCAAATGTCCTACTTCCACACACACCCCCCATCCTGCTGAGTCCATTAGTGTCACTCACATGTGTAAGTGTTTAAGGCTGAAGACTTGGCATTGGATAACCTCATCTCTGGAGAAGACAGATTCCCCTTCTCTAGGCAGTCACTGCCTGCCTGCAACTCTTCTTCTGAGGGTGGAGCGCTGAGATGTCTCCATCTGTGTTGGCCTGCTGATTGGTGCTATCATCATGCAGGTCTTCTTCAGTCAATGAGATTGAGATTTCATGAGTGTAGCAGCTGCCTTGTCCTATTATAGAAAACACTATCTTGCAGCAGATGTCCTGGTCCTCTGGCTCTTACAGTCTCTCCACCCCTTCTTCTACAATGTTTCCCAAGCCTTAAGTGTAGAGGTTACATTTTACATATTCCAATTGAGGTTGCATCACAGTGACCTGTTACATCTTAATCAATTGTTGATTTATTAATTGTTCCCATCTGCTACAAAATGAAGCTTCTTTGATGAAGGAGTATCTCCACTTATCTGTGGATATAAGGGTAGGTATTTAGAATGCGGTTAGAGATTTTACAGGCTTTAGGAAGATAGCGATAGTAGGCTCTCTTTTAGAGTCCAATACTCGACCAGTCATGCGTAATTGAGTAGGTTTACAATACCAGTATGGATTCTCTCTCATTGAGTGGGCTGTAGGTCCAATTAGATGGCTGTTGTTTACCCCTGAGATTTGTCACTCTTGGACCTTTGGCCTTTGTGGTGACATGTAGGCTTTACAGTTGGGTCGGAGTGCTGTTCTGCCTTGACAGATTCTTAGGAAACATCTGTGTCATATCCATGTTGATCCCTGTGTTTGAAGTGTGGAGTGTTTTCAGCAACACGGTTTTACCTTCAAGTTCTTGGAGGAAATCAAGGGCAATGGCCACAACCTGTGTTGGTTTGGGTTGCCTCTTGTCTACCCTGACCAACAGCTTGAAGGGAAGTTTCCCGTGCCCAGCACTTGGGTTTGTTAGTTATCTATAGCTCTTGGGGAGAACATTATTACTACAAATGACATACTTCATTTAAATGAACTTACCTGTATTACACATGATTTTAAGTAAGCATAAAATGATACTTCCCTGTAGCTTTTAAAAATATTTTTGCATTATTTATCCCTCCCCTCTCTACATTTAAAATTTCCCCTGATTTTTTTCCATTTCCCCCTTATTACACCTGCATCTTACTAGCCATCTGTGAAAAAGATTTTTATCAAATCTTCAAGAATTTCATATAATGCATTTTGATTTTATTCACTCAACTCTTCCCCCAAACTCCTCCTAGTTCTACCCTACCTCCCAAACTTATGCCCCTCTTTAAAACAGCCTATGGCCTCCAATTG